TGTTTGTTTGTTTGGATTTTTTTCTTTTTTTTTTTTTTAACTTTTTTTTTTTTTTTTGGTATTTTTTTGCTATTTTTAATCTTTTTTTTTTCCCTCTATTTTTTGCTTGTTTGTTTCATTTTTTTTTTTTTTTTAAGTCCACGCTTGATTCCCTTTCCTGTCGGAGGCAGCGGTGGCGGCGGCTGCCGGCGGAACCCCCGGCCGCTCCGAACCCCTTGGGCTGTGGGTGTTTTTCCCGGCATTTTTGCTATGCCAAGGAATAAATGGCATTGACGGGGGACGTGGCCTCGGAGCTCTCGTTGCCCTCGGTCTCCTCTTTGTCCTTCTTGACCGTGTACTGGCCGATGAAGGAGCCGTCCTCGTTGAACTGGCCCTCGCCCCCTTCTCCGTAGTCCACCAAGCTGTCGTCGCTCTCCTGCTGCTTTATCGTCCCGTCCAGCGAGGTCTGGCTGTTGGGAAGAGGTTTGTTGTCTTCATCGCTGGCAGCAGAAGACAGACAGACACGGCAAGGGTTGAGAAACGGGGCTGAAAACCTTCCCCCGAGGGATGGAGATCCTAAATCGATCCGCAGCGGGAATACGGCTCAGCAGAGCCCTAAATATTGGGGGCTAGTCCGGGTGTGAGTGGAGGGTTGTGGGGAGGGTGGGAGGTGAAGGTGGTTGGGGATCTCTGAACACCCAATTTTACCATTTTTCAGCTCATTTTTCAGCTCAATTCATGATTAATTAATTAATTAATATATTATTTACTTATTAAATACATTTCTTAACCTCGGTTTCCTCATCTCAAATTTATTAAACCCTGATTTCCTCGTCTCAATTCCTTTACCTCAATTCCCCGATCACAATCTGTAACTCCCGGTTTATTAACCTCGATTTCTTAATCTCATTTTTTCCCTCTCTGTTTTTTACTCTCAATTTCTTTCCCTCAATTTCTTTCCCTGAATTTCTTTCCGTCATTTTTATTAACTTTCACTTCTTACTCTCAATTTCTAAACCTCAATTTTTTAACCTCAATTCACTCATCTCAGTTTCTTACTCTTGGTTTCTAAATCTTCATTGCTCAATCTCGATTTTTTAACCTCAACTTCTTGCCCTCGATTTCTTAACCTCAATTTTCCATCCAAAACTTGGATCAATCCAGCTGGATGAACATCAGGAATATTTTTCCTTTGGAATTGTTTGGATTCTTTCTCTCAGTGTTTTAGCCCCCCTTGGTAACCTGGTTTAGTGGTTTGTTCACAGATTTCCTTGAGAAAACACAGTTTTTCCTTTTAAAAAAACACATTTTTTTCTCGGAAAACATGTTTTTTCCCTTGAAAAAATGTGTTTTTTCCTTGAAAAAACACAGTTCTCCTTGAAAAACCACATTTTTTTTCTTGGAAAACAGTGTTTTTCCTTGAAAAAAATGCAGTTTTTCCTTGGAAAAATGCAGTTTTTTCTTAGAAACCACAGTTTTTCCTTGAAAAAACCACATGCAAAGGGGAGCATTGCGAGGGGACACCTTTAGAATGCCAAGTTTTGTGCAGCTTCCAAAACTCTGGGAATTTACCTTTCCCAATTTATTTCTGGGCTTTTTTCCATGTTCAGTTTGGGTTTTTCTCCTTTTCACTAAAAGTCACTAAAAAATGTGGAGTTCGACCCAAAAGGGGAAAAAAAATCCATTTAAAGGTTTCTTTTTAACCAAAATCTGACCAGGGAAAAGGTCCTTGAAGGGCAGGGATTGGTATCCCATAAATTGAGCTATTTTGGGAAGGATGAGAGTGGATCGCTCTAAATTGATATAAAAATAATTTTTTTTTTTATATCAACTATTCCATAGTTCATGCAAATTCTGTCATATTCCTGCAGATATCCCTGAAATATTTGTCCTCTCACCTCCATTCCTGTCTTTTTCCAGTTGTTTTTTTTTAGCTTGGGATTTGCCAGGCCTGCTCCACTCCATTCCTTTATTTCCCTTAAAATTGGTGAAAACTTTGAATTTTTATTTCTTTTTTGGCACTTTGCTTGGGATCTTGAGCAGGGCAAGGCATTAATTTTCCCTCATTCCACGGGATCATTTCTCCCTCATTCCATGGGATTCATCCACTCCCTGAAATGGGAGAGGAATTTGGGATCCCACCACGGGTTTCCTTGGATCAGTGCTTTGGAAATTCAATAACACACCCCCAATATTTGAGACTTTCTGTTAACTTGGCATCACAACCAAAAAATTAATTTGTTAGCTCTGGAAGCAGCTTTTGGGGTTTTTTTGCGAAAAGGGAGGAATAATTCAGTGTGGAAGCAGGACTGGTTAGAAAGCCCCAAAAACGCTGAGTAGAGAGCGGCAAAACGCAGATCTTCAATTCCCAGCGCCCCTTCCCAAACTTTGGGAGGCAGCTCAAGCCAAATCCAGAGCTGGATCATCTTTAATGGATGGGTTTGTGGCACCAAATTCCCGCCGGGAATGCATTCCCGGAGAATTCCCGCTGGTTTTACCTCTCTCCAGGGCCGTTTATCCCGTTAGTGTGTTAGGAGGGAGCAGCTCCTGATGGGATCTAACCCTGTTAAAATGGATTTCTGGGAGCGCGGCTGAGCTGGGAATTAGGGAACCGGAGTGCCCAGATGGGAATCACATGGGAAATGCTCTTCTGAATCCCATAAATCTTTGGGAAGAGGGGGAGGCTGGAGCCAGAGGATTTTCAGGACTAAGAGTGGGCAGATTGGTCAGGATCCACAGGTTTTGGCTCATGTCCCTTGTCCCCATTCCCTGGGATGCACTTTTTCTTGGAAAACTAGTTTTTCCTTGAAAACAAATCCCAGTTTTCCCTGGAAAATCCACATTTTTTTCCTTGAAAAAACCCACATGCATTCCCAAGTTCAGTCCTGCTCCACCAGGAGGGAGCAGCAGCTGGAGCTGGGGGGGCCTGGCTGGATTTGGGGGGCACACCCAGCCCACGGAGCAATTCCAAGAAGGATCTGACTCTCCGGAAGCCGTGATGGCAGCGGGAATTAGAGGGATTTTGTTTAATGTGTTAGGCAGGGACGTGGGAACGGGGGTGGGGAAGTTTTGGGCGTGAAGAAATCAACGGGAGGAAGGAAGGAAGGAAAACAAAATTCCCAAAAAGCGGAGTGTGCCGGACTTCTGGCGGCACGAGGTCCTACCTTTCAAGAGACCTTCACGGTCCATGTGGATAGACCAGGTGAAAAGGAGGAGAAGGAATGGGAATAAAACAGAGAGAAGCAGAAAGAGCCTGATCAGAGAGAGAAATGAGGAGGTTCTGCATTCACAGGGGCAGTGCTACAACCAAAAAAATAAAAAAAAATGGGAATCATCGCCTCGTTATACCAAATGAGCCGGGAGAGCCGTTCCAGGTGGGATCAGCCTCCTTGGGTGCCCCCAGGAAGCCATCCCAGCATGGAAAAGCCATCCAAGAAGGGCTGGAGGTGATGCCCGGGGGACAGTGGTGGCTCTGGGGACCCGCAGCAGGACAAAGGTGGCTGGGTTCACGCCAGCGTCCTGCTGGGATTCCTTGGATTCCCTCCCTATGGATAAACCTACACCTTCCCAGAGTTTTCCAGAGCTTTCCTCCCTTACGAGGCTCCCAGGACAGTTGTGTGTCCTCCCCTCTTGCTGCCTGCTGAGATGTCCCCTCCTGGCTAGTGGCACTGCCTGCTCTGTGTCACCTGTGCCCTTATCCTGGATATCCCGGGAATCTGGACCCTAAATGCACTCGGCTTCCCCTTCCCGGCATCCGGAGTTTCCAGCCGCCTCTCCGCGGGCAGCACGGAACATTTGGTATAATGAGGCACCGGCACTGGCACGGAACGCTGTCCATGGATAATGGTCCTGCCTTGGGAAGGAGCTTCCCTGCTTGGGAACGCCATTATCCCAGGATTGGAGCAGAGAGATGTGGCGGGATCTCGGGATGAGGAGCTCGGAGAGTGGCATGCACGGGGCACCGGGGACGTGAGGGTGACGAGGGCACAGCAGCCATGCCATGGGGAGGAGGGGACGGGAGCCGGGATGGGCTCAATTCCTGCCCTTCCCTGAAATCCTAAATGCCGCCGCTCCCGGAGCCCGGCCCCACAATCAGCCCCGAGCTCAATCAGCCAACAGCTCCAGCCTCCGGCTTCACCTTCCCTCCTGCCTCCCAGAGGGAAACCTCCTGGAATTCTCCCAGGAATCCTGGTGTTCCTCAGGATTGCCAGCACCCCCTGGCAAAGTCTGTGGGTTCATGGGTTGTTGGCTTTTTTTTGTTTGTCCTTATTAGATTGGGGATTTTCCCCCCTTTTATTTAGTCCATAAAACTCCACGGATTCCATCCCAGAGTTTTATTGTCCTCCCACTGACTCCTGCCTTTCCCCTGGAAATTTTAGGGCTGTCCATAGAAGTCAGAGCTCCAGCTGAGCAGAAGGATGAAGGATTCACCCCAATCCTTCCCCTTGCCTGGAAGGGAAAACCCCTTGGATGGTGCTGGGGAATTTCTGCCAGACGTTCCCAGAGCTTGGATTCCCTCTGGAGGGAGGCAGGGGGTGCCTGACCGTGGATTTTCCTCGGGAATGGTGGATGGGGCCAGGAGGGGGTGGCTGGGCCCCTTGGGTGGGCTCTGGAGAAGCAGAGCCAGGAAATCCGGGAGTTCTGCCAGAAGCTCAGCCTGGGGGAATCCCTGTGGGAATCCCTGTGGGAATCCCTGTGGGAATTGGGGGGCGGTTCAGGCTTCCCAAAAACCATCCCATAAATTTGGGAAGCACGAAACTCCCTATCCTGACTGGAATCATGGTTCGGGGCTGGGCTGTGTCCTGGTTCTGCCTCATTCCCATGCCAGGAGCATCCCATAAAATCCTTCCTTGGGAAGGGATGGCTCTGACCCCAAAACCTGCAGCAGGACCGGGCTGGGCTCATTCCTCCTCTGCTGTTTTCCCTGTCCCAGTGTGGGATCCGAAGGGAGCATCCCAAAAATTCACAGGTGGAATTTTTGGCCACCCCTTGAAGCACTGAGCAGCGGGGAAGGGAGGAGTGCTGGCCCTGGGTGTTGTGTGGGACATTAAGGAATTCCAGCCTTTCCCTACAACATCCTGCTGGGATGTGTTTGTATTTCATGTTTTTCTCAGAGTCTGGGGAGCTTCGTGGAATCCTCTGGAATAAAAATATCTGTCTGAAACGGAATTTCTGTGCCTCTGATGAAATAAGATGATGAAATAAAATCCCTGGTTCTGTTCAATTTCTGTTTCTGATTCATGTTGTTTCCCCTAAATCCTCTGGCAGAATCCCTTCTTATTCCATCCCTTCCTGAATCCCAAATCAATTATTCCCATGCTGGGAATGACACGGGGTTCAATGAATTGCTGGTTTAAATCAGGAGGAAAAATTCCCACCAGGTTTTGACCTCAGCTCAGGTGGGAAAGGGAATTTTAATTCTTTAAGGAAATCAAATTAAAATATCCCAAATCCCCTCGGCTGCCAGGTGAGTCCTGAGAGTGGGACCTGCTCCTGCTCCTGGGGAATCACGGAGAGCTGGGAATGCTTGGGAAGCTCCTGTCCCTTTCTGACACATCCCAGGAGTTTTCCTGGAGGGAAAAAGGCTCCGCTGCTCTTTAAGGGTGACATTTGCGTGCAAAGAGAGGGATGGAGCCGGGGAAGTCGGAGAGGTTCCAGCTGAATCCCTGCTGGAGCCCTCATGGGGGTTTTAGTGGGATTCTGTGGGGCTGGAGCACAGGCAGACCCCAAATCACTCCCCTTTCCTGATTCCAGGGCTGATCCCAACAGAATTTTGGGCATTTCTCCCATGGATAAGGGGATCCTCTTTAGGATGCTTCAGAAATACCCTCAGGCTGCTACAAAGTTTGGGGTTTGGGGGTGATTTTGGGGATTTTATGTGTTAGGAGCTCCATTAAGGCCACTCTGCTCTTGGTGGGAGCTGTTCTGGTGAGCTGATCCACAAATCCCATCCCAACAGAATTTTGGGCATTTCTCCTTTAGGATACTCCAGAAATACCTTCGGGCTGCTACAGACGTTGGGCTTTTGGGGTGTTTTTTGGGGTTTTATGTGTCAGAAGTTCCATTAAGGTTGGTTTACTCCTGCTGGGAGCTGTCCAAGGTTGCCGATTCCAGAATCCCGGGAAAAGGAGGTGGAACCCCACAACCTGGCGACTCCAGCAGCGTTTTAGGAGCCGTTTCCTTCGGGAATTACTCACAGCGGGAAGGCGGCAGGAGGAGGAAAAGGGGGACAGGGATCGTTCCGGGGCGGGGGGGAGGTTTGTGGCACCACGGGGTGGGGGAGGGGGCTGTGATGGTGGGGGAGGGGTCGGACATTCCATGGGATCCTACCTGTAGTCGAAGGATCCGTCCTCCACGTTCTTGTCCTCGGGATTGAGGTGCTCGTCCTTGTTGTCCCGCACTGCGAAGGAGCAGAGCCCCCTCCCAGTTAAACCAGTAAGGATCGAAGGGTTTGGAAATGGGGAGGGGCTGGGGAAGGGGGAGGAGCTCGGACAGGTAAAAACTGCACCGGGGAGGGGTTACAAAGGGCTTACAAAGGGTTTGTAAAGGGTTTGTAAAAGGAAAAAGGGTTTGAAAAGGGTTTGTGAGGGGTTTAAAAAGGGTTTACAAAGGGATTGCGAAGGGTTTGAGAAGGGTTTGCAAAAGGGTTACAAAGGAGTTACAGAGGGTTTGCAAAGGGTTTACAAAGGGTTGGCAAAGGGGTTGCAAAGGGGTTTTCAATGGGGTTGCAAAGGGGTTACAAAGGGGTTGCAAAGGGGTTGCAATGGGGTTACAAAGAGTTTGAAAAGGGTTTGTAAAGTGAAAGGGTTTGAAAAGGGTTCGTGAAGTGTTTATAAAGGGTTTACAAAGGGTTTATAAGGGCTGAAAAAGGGTTTGAAAAAGCTTTACAAAGGGTTTACAAAGGGTTTACAAAGGGTTTGCAAAGGACTCTGCTGTGGTGGCACAGTGAGGGGATGTCTTAATTGTAGACTTTTCTTAATTTGAAGAAATGATTTTTAATTACTTCTTGAAATGATAAACAATAAACAAATCGCAAATGAGAAATCAATAATAATGGTGTAAATGAAATATTAATGCATTTTATTAGTAAAGAAACGTGGAAATGATAACAAATAATAAATTAAATGAGGCTTCTCGTAAATTTATATCTAGAATTTATATATAAAACTGTGTGAAAGTATGAATTTAGATTTAGGTAAGAATCAATTTAGAAATTCATAAATAGAAAAATGATATAGCCACAAATTCATGACTCTAAATTCCCAGCACAGAGGGATAAACCCATCACAATCCCAATTCTCTGACACCTGGATTAACCCCCAGAATCCTGGGATTTCCCATTCCTTGCTTCTCCCTGGATATTCCCCCACCACTGGAATATCCCTGAATAGTTTAACCCCTAGGATTTCCCATTCCCAGCTCTCACCTCAATATTTCCCATCACTGGATTGTCCTGGACCTGTTTAACTTTTGGGAACGGCCATTCCCACCTCTCACCTGGATTTTTCCCAGGACTGGATAATCCCCAAGATTCCTGGACCTATTTAACTTTTGGGAATTGCCATCCCCACCTCTCACCTGGATTTTTCCCAGGACTGGATGATCCCCGAGGATCCTGAACCTGTTCAACCCTTGGGAACGCCCATTCCCACTCTCACCTGGATATTCCCCCACCACCGCGTTAACCCCAAGAATCCCGCTTAAATTTAGGGAACGCCCATTCCCACCTCTCACCGGGGCATTCCCCACCACTGGATGACCCCCGAGAATCCCTATGGAAATTTCAGGAATGCCCATTCCCGTTCTCACCTGGATACTTCCCGCCGCGGCTCCTCTTGATGAAGCAGACGATGAGCAGGATGAGCACGAGGAGAGCGATGGCGCACATGAGGCCGATGAACCAGCCTTGCGTGGCGATGTCCACCTGGTTCTTGGTGTAGGCTGCAGAAAAACGGGGAAAATATTCCTAAGGAGCAGAGCAAACCGCGGAGGGAACGGAGGAAGAGGAATTCAGGAAGCTGGTTTGGGAATTTTCTTTCGTTTGGGTGGGTCTGGGTGTGTGGTTGAGGTTGTAGCTTGGGGATTTTTGGGTTTTTTGGGGTTTTTTGGCATTTTCTTGGTGTTTCTTTGGATTTTTTGTGGAGTTTTTTGGTGTTTTCTTGGTGGTTTTAGTGTTTTTTGGTGGTTTTTTTCCATTTTTTATTTTTGTATTTTTTTGGTGTTTTTTGGGTGTTTCTTGGTGGTTTTTTGGTGGGGTTTTGGTGGTTTCTTCTTGGGTTTTTTTTGTTGTTTTTTTTTGTTTTGTTTTGGTTTGGTTTTTTTGTTTGTATTTTTGTGTTTTTTCCTTTTATGGTAAAAAACAAAATCAGTTTTATCAGGAACAAACAGCGAAGGGGCCCGACAGAAAGGAAAATCTGGGAAAAGGGAATTGCAAATAAAGGCACGGGAAGCTGGGGAAGGAATTTGATGGAATTTTCTGCATCCAAAAGCTGCTCTGGGTGTGGGGAGATCCAAGAGAAACATTCCCAAGTCCTCCTGTCCAGGGATTTTGGGAGCAAGGAATTGCTGAGTTCTGAGGGCTCATTGGAAGCCTTGAACTGGGATGAACTGGGATGAACTGGGATGAACTGGTGTCCCTGCAGAGGTGACAGTGGTGGCTCTTCTTCCACCACCACCCAGATCCTGCTGCCTTTGGTGGCCACCAAGGGTCTCAGGGCTGGTGGAAGCCCCCAGGACCTGGGAAGGAGTGGGAACATCTTGGAATGACACAGGGAATGACAATAGGAATGACACGGATCCAACCCCGGTGTCCAGGGATTTTGGACAGCACCAGTGGATCAGGGAATAGCCGAGGCCTGAGGGCTCATTGGCAGCCTTGAACTGGGATGAACTGGGATGAACTGGGATGAACTGGGATGAACTGGGATGAACTGGGATGAACTGGAGTGTAGAGAGCTCTGATAGCTCCAAGTGTTTTCTCCTGGAGCAAATTCCTGCCTCCAATGCCTTCCCTGACTCCCGGTTCGCTCGGTCAGACAGACAAATCCATGGCCTAAAAATAGCTCCAAGGCTGCCTTTTCCAGCCTCTCCTTGGAATTCAGCAAGGCAGAGGAGAAAATAACCTTCAGCACAGCGGGGGGGCTGGATTTATCCAAGCTGAGGGAAAACTGAGGCGTTCCCGGTGGGAATGTGGGAGAACAAGGGTGATTGGGATGAGATTGGGACTGGAGACGGGCAGGAGAGAGCTGGGAGCATCCTGAAAATCCGGTGGGAAAAAAGATGGATGAAGAAGGCAGGGAACAGCCCTCCCTCAATGTGTTTGGGGAGAAAGGATCTTGGAAGAGAGGCAGCAAATGGAAAAAAAGGGTTGGATTGGCAAAAATTCCTCACCCCCAAAATTTCAGGGGTCAAACTGTGCTTATTCCATTGGAATTGAGGCCAAGAGAAGGGCTTTCCTCAGGATGAAATCCAGGGAATTGCAGGCCAACCGTGACAAGGAAATCTGGATTAAAAAGGAGAATGGCATGGAGGAGAATCTTTGGTCAAGAAGTGATGTTGGACCTGGAATGTTTTGTGGATTTTGGGCAGCAAAGAGAGGGGAAGGAGCTTCCTGATGCTTCCTTTGGCTCCAACGCTGCCAAATCCCACATTTCCTTTATCCCAGGCTGAGCTCCGGAGTTCTCAAGGATGCGCTTTTAGATGGAGATGAATGGAGATGATGATGGAGGAATGGATTCAATTATCCCAGTGCTCAGGAAGGGAAGGGGAAGGGAAGCCTGGAGATGGAAAAATTCCATGAACAGCGATGGGATGGGATTTTTCCAGGGAGAAACGAGGGGATCCTCAAAATATGAAATTCCAGAGAAGCCTGAGAGGTGGGATGGGGGTTGGAGCTGGGTTTGGAAAGGAGGGAGGATTTTAAACACCGAGTCCCCAGGAGATCTCACAGGAGGATGGGGGCACTGCCTGTGGGTAAGGGGAAAATTCCCATCCTTCCCAAAAGAGGGGGGATAAATCCACCCTTCCCAAAAAAAGCAACACTCGAGGACCAAATCAAAGTCCCTGCAAAGGTGGATTTGGAGTAAAGGAGTGAGTGTCAGGAAGGAAACTTTGAAGCCCGTGGCTGTGCCAGGGGATTTTGTGATTTGCTTTAAGGTGAGACCAACCTCAAGGGAAAATGGGGAAGCAGCTGCGGGATCTGACAGGTCCTGATTGGAATTGCAGCTGCAGAGCCTTTTTAAAAAATAATTAATGATAATTTCGTGGCAGAAAATTCATTACTTAAGAGTCATCGCTGGCATGGCAGGAGCAGAGCTGAGCTCCACCAAGTTTTTGTCTTGGATTGCAAAAAGAGTGAAAAATCCCTTTGAGCTCCAGCCTGGTGTGATCCTATTCCTAGGATCCCAGGATTGCTGAGGCTGGAAAATCCCTCTGGGATCAGCGAGTCCGAGCTGTGCCCGATGCCCACCCTGAGCCCTGAGTGCCACCTCCAGCTGCCACCTCCAGGGACGGGGACTCCAAACCTCCCTGGGCACTTCCAAGGCCTGGCCGCCCTTTCCATGAGGAAATTCCTGCTGCTGTCCAAGCTGAGCCTCCCCTGGCCCAGCCTGAGGCCGTTCCCTCTCCTCCTGTCCCTGTTCCCTGGGATAACATCCCAAATCCCCCCCGGCTGTCCCCTCCTGGCAGGGACTTGTGCAGAGCCAGGAATTCCCCCTGAGCCTCCTTTTCTCCAGGCTGAGCCTTCCCAGCTCCCTCAGGATTCTCCAAACCCTTTCCCAGCTCCCTCAGGATTCTCCAAACCCTTCCCAGCTCCCTCAGGATTCTCCAAACCCTTCCCAGCTCCCTCAGGATTCTCCAAACCCTTCCCCAGCTCCCTCAGGATTCTCCAAACCCTTCCTCATCTCCATTCCTTTTCCTGGACACTATTCCCAGTGTTTGGACAAGTTGAGAAACCCATTTATTTATTTAAAATATAGCAGCCCTCCTTCTACTCCACTATTTTTGTCATTTCCAAGTGCCCTTTGCTCCTGGGAGGAATTTTGTCAGCTTAATGAGCTGCCAGTTAATCAGGAGCAAAATCAGAACTCGGCCTCCTGCAGGGGAATATTTCTTATTTATCTGCCCCCAGCCTGAAGAAACCTTTAGAACAACGATTTACAAGATACATAAAAAAAAACCAACACAACCCCAAAACCCCCAAAACTGCTCGGTTCCTTTTTATCCAAAGCATTCCCGATGCCATAGGATTGTCAGCGGGGGCCCGGCACTTGTGTCAGCGGCATCCAGCCAGGAGAGAAATGGATGTGGAGCATTTATTCCTGCAGGGAAGACGACAGCTCCGTGCATCCCACAGGGCTCAGGTCAGCACCAGCCTCAATCCCGGGGATAAAGGTGGCTCCATGCCTTATTCTCCATGAAAATATCAGTAGGAACCTCTCAATTATGGAAAATATATGCAGAGTCTTCCCAGCAGGGATCAGCCAAGGATATTGTGCTTTTTCTCCTTGGTTTGTTGGTTTTTTTTAATGATTCCCGGCTCCTTGCTGTCCCCTCCATCACCCCACGGATCCCGAAGTGGGGGGAAAGCAGGGGAGGAAGGAAAAGAGGCGGGTCCAGGTTGGGAATGGTTTTCCAGGGGGATAAAGTGGTTATTCAGAGGGGTAAAATCGTTATCCATAGGGATAACTCCCATGGTGGGGTGGGGGCTGACGGAGATTTAGGCCTCAGGGAAAGATCCAGAAACAAACAGAACTGGGGATTTAACCCAACACTGGAGCTGTGCTGGGAGGGGTCTGGGTCTAAAATCACCTCCAGTGGGATCAGAATATTCCAGGGGCTGCTGTGCCATGGATTCGCTCAACCCCGGAGCAGTTTGGGGACGAAGCCAAGGGCAGCCCGAGCTGGGGGTTTGTCAGTGAGCGGGGTTGGACACTCCAGAACCACCTGGGTGTGGCACCTGGGGACACGATGGCCTTGGCAGTGCCAGGGAACACTGGGACTTGATGATGGCAGAGGCTTTTCCAGTGTTAATTCCATGGAACAGCTGCCGTCCCTGCCATGGAATTACCTGGTGATATTCCAGATTTTCTGACAATTTTGGATGCTCACGGGGGGTGTGGGGAGCTCTGCTCCCCAATTCCCGCAGCTGCCTCACCCTGGGATTCCCATTTTCCTTTTCCCATTCCCGGCAGAGCCTGGAAACTGCTAGAGCTTCCCATCCCACAGCTGGAGCTGAGCAAAACCATTTAAATTCCTTGGAAATCCCCACCTCTGCCCACGACATGGTCGGGGAGGCTGCTCCAGTATTTCCTGCTCCGTGGAATTCCAGCAGAGTGGAATTGACAGGAGCTGTGCACAGATCCTTATGGAAAAGCCCCAGGTGGATAGGAAGGGATTTAGGGCTGTTTGGATTTACTGGGAATCATTGGGAAGGAACGGCGGAATTTTATAAATGTATAAAGTTCCTGTGGGAAAAGGAGGGAGCGTCTGGAGCTGGGTGGGAACTGGGGGAATCCACAACGAGGAAGACATGGAAACCACACGGATACAAAGCCTGGAAAATTCCACACAAAATGCCAGAGGAAACGTCCCAGGAGTACGGAAATCCCTAAAGATACGCTTGTGCCAACACCACATTCCCACTCCCAATCCTGCATCCCGCCAGTGACATCTCGTTGTCCCCCAAAGTCCCAACGCGCACCAAGGGGCCGCAAGCAGAGGCTGTGACAACACGAACGCGTTCTCCTCCCTTTCCTTCATTCCAAAGGATCCCCATCACCAGGGATCCTCATCACCAGGGATCCCCATCCCGAGGGATCCCCATCATGAGGGATCCCCATCACCAGGGATCCTCATCACAAGGGATCCTCATCCCGAGGGATCCCCATCCCAAGGGATCCCCATCACGAGGGATCCTCATCACGAGGGATCCCCATCCCTTC